GAGGGAACAAGCCATATCCAGCTCATAGTAACAACAATTGCAAAGAACAATCCACTGTAATTCTTTCAAGCTGGTGACAAAACTGTCTCCATGTTTCTTTCTCCAAAGTGTATTTCTTCTACTGAAGAACACTCTAGAATTTCAATGATTACTCATGTTTAGAAAATAGATCATTTTTCGTTCTGCTTCCAGCTACCCATAACTGTCACCACACCACTTCATTATGGCTTCATGGTAGCTGGTTTTTTTGTTTCCTGTTATTGAAATGACAGTGTGCTACTGGGACTACAAAAAAATCATTTTTTTCTGCAACAAGGTCCTTGTGGGTTCTTATGAACCTCAAATAACTTGGTCTGTTGGAAGACAATGTCCATGATCTCTGTTATAGGGTTACTAAGTCTAGTATTATTCAACTCAGGTGTCTTCCTAAAATACAACTCTGGAGCACGCCTGGTGACACAGGTCTATAATTCCAGTCACTTGGGGCTGAGGCAAAAGAACCAAAAGTTCAAGGCCCGCTTAGACTGGAGAATTTGTTTAAGACCATAGTGACTTCACTCAGAGTGACTTAGTGAAACCTTGTATTAAAATAACAAGTGAAAGGAGGTGGGAAGGTAGGGATGTAGCTCGTTGGTATAGCACTTGCCTAGGATGTGTGAGGCTCTAGGTTCATATACATATGATTCTAATGCAAAGTGAAGAACTGGAGGTGGACTCAAAACAGCCTGGTTTTAATCATCCTTCCACACTTAGCAGCTCTGGGATACTCGTAGAGGATAACCTGAGCCTTTTGTTGTCTGGTCTGCAGAATGGATATAATAGTATCCTCTTAGAACATGATTTCAAAAATTATCACCACATATTTACCATATGTCCTACAGGCCAGGGTCTTTTCTAAGTGCTACAGGTATCCCAGCAAGCAAAGGGCAAGCTTTCCATTCCCATGCAGCCATGGTCCTAATTGAAAATATATCCTGGTGCTCAAGTCTTTGAGGTGGAGTGCTACCTGGGAGTCAGCTGACACTGGGAGCCTTGTACATATAGTTGTAAAGTAAGCATCATTCTATTGTGCCAGACTTGGTCTTCCAGCTCAGTTATTGCTGGAGCACACATAACCTACCATTTTTTTATTTCATAAAACTTTTATTTTTAAGGCAACATTTATATTTGGAGTAAATACTTAGCACTGTGTTTGTCTTATTGATATATACTATATATAAGTAAGACTAATTTGCACCAAAAATGTTTGGATGGAAGACTGTATATTCTCTTGTGTATGAAAATTATGAGTGATGAAATAAATTGCTAAAATAAAATTTCCCTTTGAATTTGCCACTGGCCATATATTCAGCTCGCCACACTAAGGACTCTTGTCAGTGGTCATGGCACTGCACTGAAGGAATTCATTGCCCCCTTTTCATGCAATGGATGCCAGTGATGCGGTGATCTATCAGATCTTCCTTTTTTCAAACCACTTCCTGGGTGGAATCAGCAGAGCACACACTGTGACCTTGCCAAACACAGCATCTGATCATCATCAGGCATGCTAGGTACAAGAAAGTAACTGGGCAGCAGAGCATATTTGCAGTTGGTTCATTTTCTACTCATTTTGGATCAATGAATGAAGAAGTAGAATTTAGAAATTTCTTCATAATAGCCAGCTCAAATCATAGCACTGCCACTTATAATCCACCCAAGCCTTCAGGTTCAACATTGTACTCAGAGTAAAAGTACAACTTGCAGATTTTTTTCTGTGTAACATTTGATGAGACATGCATTTTGATTTTTATACTGTAATATTACTTCTGATATCTCAAACTGCTGGTGAAATTCTCAGCCAGTGTCATCTGAGGTAACTAGATTAAAAGAGAAATTTCAGTGGAATCCATCGCTAAAATGCGTTCTGCTCTGCATTAGCACACAGTGCTTCTTGCATAGTTCACTACAGAGCTGATTGCACTGTTTCAAAAATAGCAACGACAATAGGAAAAATAGAAGATGAAATATAAAGCTAGCCATCTGTGGAGTCACTCACCTTACATCCATGGAATGTCACACTGTTGCTAATGAATACTCAGAGATATATAGAAGAGAATGCTGAGGCCAAGAATGACCAGCACTTTACTACTTATTACAAAACCGCAGCTTTCTATTTTCTCTACAAATATGAGCCAGAAACTTTTTCCAAAAATACTTATTTTGATATCCCCAACGTGTCTTTCACCTGCCAACACTTACCTGCCACCTGATTCCATTGCTAAAATGATGGAGTTTGAAAATCATAACATTCGATTTCCTGCCTTTTCCTTGAATATACAAACAATATAGCAGTAAGATCCGGACAAAGATTCTACTGATAGGTCCATTGTCAGTTTTGTCACCTTTGCACTCTCAAACATGTCTCCAAAGGTAGAAGATGTGTGGGTGTAGGGAGCATGCATTTTCTGTAAGACTCAAACCATACATGTCTTTCTGTTAGAGTCCCATACCAAGACTATTTGATCTTTGGGGAATTCAGAAACTTGGCAGTTTTCTTCTTTTTAGCCTTCCGAATGTGGTCAGTTCCACCATGCTTGGGATGTACAGGAGCCACTAGGACAGGACAAAGGAATGTTTCATTCAGCTCCTTGGGATTCTCCTTTCAGAAGTCACATCTATAGCTACACAGTGCAGGTGCAAACTGGTACAAACTCATCCTTTTCCCACATGATGCTGCTACACATAAGATTTGAGAGTGTGTGTCAGGAGCCTTGAAGTCTTCATTGCCTCTCATGCTAAAGAACAATCTAATGTTCAAAAGAAGGGATGTATACCATGACACTTAAAATAAATGAAAAGCTGAAAGCCTTTTGTCCCTTGCTGCCCAAGAACAGGAATTGGTTATATAAATTTGCTATGTGGATACATAGCAACTTTTAGACAGTTTAGGTCAAGACTGGCATTCTTAAGGGACTTCTAGAATGGCATGTTAAAACGTCATAAATGAGCAATAACAGTACACAGCCCCATCTTTTTTCTGGTTTTAATGAGATTGCTTCAAGTCTTTCTCCATTTAGGATGATGGAGGATGATTGTCATATATATCCTTTATGTTGAGATATGTTCTCTCCTTTCCTATTCTCTAGGCCTTTTATCATATTGAATCTTTTACATGATTAAAAAAATATCCTTGAAAGTGTCTAACATGCTTAGCAATCAAGAAAAAAGCAAATTAAAACTACTTTGGGATTTCATTGGACCCCAGTCAGAATGGCTAAGATAAAGAAAACAACTGGCAATAAATGCTGGCAAGGATGTGGGAACAAGGAACCGTCATTCACTGTTGGTGGGAATGCAAACTGGTGCAGTCACTGTAAAAATCTGTGTGGAGAATTCTTAAAAAACTGAAAACAGATTTATCTTATAGCCGAATTGTAGCATGCCTTGGCGTATATCTGAAGAACTCAACATCCTACTACAGAGATGTGTTTGACCACGTTTATTGCTGCTCTATTCACGATATGCAGGAAATAGAAGCTGCCTGCATCTCTGGCAACTGGTGAATGGATAATGAAAATGTGGTGCAAATACACAATAGAATTCTTTTCAGAGGTAAAGAAAAGTATAATCACCCAATTTGCAGGTAAATGAACAGAACCGGGAAATCCTATACTAAGTGAGGTAACCCAGAGCCAGAAAGACAAATGGTGTGTTCTCTTACTTACAGATCATAGCTCCAAATCTGTAGATTTGAATATATAACCTGCAGTAACCACAGAAGCCAAGAAAGTAGAAAATGACCTTTGGGAGAAGAGGGTTGGAGAAAGCTCTCTAAGGAGGGTAATAGTAGATCATAAGTGTTTTGGAGGTAGAAAGGGGGAAAAGTCAGACACGACTTAACTGGATGTAGGGGAAGACGGGGAAGGGGGAAGAAAGATAAAAAACAGTAAGGATGTTTGAAAGACCACATGGAAACACTCTGTGTTTATTTAAAAATATATACAGATGATATCAGGGCTTTTGTTGTTTTAATTCTATTTGTTTATTTGTTTGTTTATTACCCTACAGGTTTATGTGTTATCACTTCCAGTTTTGAATTTAAATGGGATTTTTGAGTGTGTGTCTCTGCATCTGTTTGTATTTCTTGTGCCTTTTCTTGGACTCTTCTGTTTGTTTTGACCTAGTCCAATTTGTAATTGTTGTATCTTATTATATTTTATGATTATCCTTTAGATGCCTGTTTGTTTTCTAACGAGAGACAGAAAGGGTGTGAATCCAGATGGGAGGAGAGATGAGCAAGAACTCAGAGGAGTAGAGAAAGGGAAAACTGTAATCAGAGACAAAAAAATCTATCTTCAATAAAAGGAAAAAAGAAATGCTGTTTTCATTTCACACACACACACACACACATGGGGGGGACGTGTTTAACTTAATTTTTTTAAGTATTCTTGAACTGTGGTAAGCCCAAAACAAACCTGTATTCACAGTGTGATCTTAACTATGTAGGGAGTGTGCACAAAAAAGAAAAACTAGCACACACACCGTGACTGCTGGTGTTCATCGTCACCTTGACATACCTATGGGAGGTGGGGGTATCTTGATTACATTGCTTGATGTGAGAAGACCTATTTCAACGGTGAGCAGGACCATTCCCTTGGCAGGGGCCCTGGACTGTATAAATGGAGAGTGAGTGGAGCATGACAATGTACTTAACTGTCTCTTGGTCTCTTTGTATCTTTTCTTAAGTCCCCCTTTTGTTTTTCTTTGATGTTATAAACATTTCCCATTGTGAATATCAAATAAAATAAAACTTCAGAACTTTAGATACCGACAAAAAGTACTAATGGAACAGTTGCGGCAATGGCAATGCGTGTTTTTATATCCATTCTATCATGGGAAAGTGATGCACGGCTGTCTGTTGTGGGTCTTCCCTGGGAATTTATACCATTCATTCTCCTGTTGGAGAGAAATTACTGCAAAGAGGCAATGATAAGAATCTAGTCTTCCCTGCTCTTTTCCAGCACACAACGGTTTTACCCTTTATATTAATCGAGATGAGGACATCCCACCATCAGTATCCCAGCAGGAGCAGCGGACTCGCCGCCATATGTACCTTCTCCGTGGCCTATATATTATGGTAAGGACTGTGCCTGCTGGGCGTTCATACTGTATTAGATTCTGCAATGCTAAATGTGGGCACATATTGCATTATGGATATAATCACTAACAGATTCACACCGCGTGCCTCATTTGGTCCAAGACCTGGGCTTTGTCTTGTTTCACCAGATGCTTATATTTTTAGAAATATATGCCAAACCTCACACAGCAGGAATTTGTTGAACAATCCCATGTAAGCAGTGCGCCTTCCAAGGCTACGTTTTTCAACTTGTTTTCAAACTAAATGTTTTTCTTGGACACTAGTTTTATAGCTTAAAGGCTTTTTCTTTTGCTGGGGATTTTGTTTTTGTTGTTGCTTTTGTTGGGGGAGTGGGGATTGCAACAAACACGAGTGAAAGCAAATGAACCAACCAATGTAAGTGAAATGTACATTTTATGGACCTACTCAAAACCTATTCAAAAGTGATGAATTATAAGTAGAATGCATTTAGCTTACTTGTTTTAGGATATTGGGGTAAATAAACCACATGAGATCTCCATGTTATCTGTTGGGCACACTTAAGTCTCAAGCTTGTGGTGCCAAATGTATCTGATAAGAATTTTTGCTTCATATTAACTTCAGTTTTTATCATGTTTCAACACTTTCATATACTCATTTATTTATCACCAAGAATTTTCAAATTTCTCTTTATAATTCCAAGTTCTCTTTGATATATTAACCCAGAAAGAGAGGCTTCCTCCTGTATCTCTTCCTCTTGAGACTCTCTTGTCCTGGGTTTTGGGGTCACCATCCCCTCTTTTCAGCCTGGAACACTGGATAACATTCTTCCAAATACCTCACAATGGTTTTTAACCCAGCTCAAAACCTAAGCTCTCTCAGAGGCCCAGTCTCCATGGAGCATTTTTCTCTAGCCAGTCTAGAACTATTGAAGAGAGTAGTCAGGATAAGACTTCACACACTTCATATGAACAACAATATGATATCACAGGCCTGAGAAGAAAGAAGATTGACCACCAGGGGAAAAAAAATGTGTGTCTGGATATAAGTGATACTCAGAGTACAGACCTCAGAATATGCAGGCAATAGAGTTCACCACATCTGCCTTTGGCCAGACCACCAACTAGTGAAAGACTATTCATGAGGACTTGGGAAGTTTGTTTTCCTATTCACTTACTTTATAGTTGGCATTGTTTTTGTTTATTTGTTTGCTTGTTTATTTTTTTTCCTTCCTGCCCAGATTCTTAAATATAGACTTTCTCTGATAGAAAAAGTCCAAGAGATTTATCTCACTGATGATATGGAAATAAATAATGTTGTATCTTAGAAATGAACTTACATGCTTTATGAATATGAACTTGACATTCAAAGACTGTTAGCTTTCAGAAGAATCAAATGTGGAAGTTGCACAGTCATTCAGCTGTGCTATCTGGAACTTCCTTTGGCCTTAAAAGTCAGCTCTCTTCCCCAACACTTGTTCCACAAGCTCATCACTGCAGTGCATTGACTTATGTGAGGGTAGGGAAGCTCTCTCTGGGAGTTATGGTGGATTTCTGAGAATTTATTCATGTGCTGTGAAATGATCTTGCAGAGCCTGGAGGTTTCACGAACTATGTTCTTCCTGATGGCTTTTCTTCCGCTGGGTATACAATCAGCCCACGTTCCAAAGAGACACATGGGAAATACCACACAGGCCTCATTATAGACCCCCAAGATCCCTCGTTAAAATGAAGCATTACTCATGTTCTCTGTGCCAAGTGAGGCTTGCCAGCTCCATGTACTCCCTCGGCAAACCAGTACTTGTTTAGACATGTACTTGCATTAACCAGCAAATTCCCTCAGATTTGTTCTGAGAGAGCTTTCAAAGTAGACTTTTTTCCTTTGGTGTTCTGCCCTAGGCATTTATATAGCTCTGCCAAAAGCTAAACAATGCCCCTTGAGTCATGTCACATTGTATAAATTCAAGGGTTTAATTGTTGTCAAAAGGTACTGGCTTTTGCTCCCTTCCAGGCTGTCCTGGAGCCCAACATACCAGTGACACAACAGTGAAAGATTCAGGAAATGAAATCTTATGATAGCATACCAGTGTTGTAACCGAACATTCCAGAACCCACCCTCAAGCCAAGATTGGGGAAACCATTTCTCTTATCGTGTTCTAATTATAAAATAAATGGGTCTCCTTTACAATGCTGAGTATGGCAAGTTGACTGTGCCTCAGGGCTGCTGGCCAGGCTGTCTGGCTACTCTTGTTGGACTCTGACTCTCCAATTTCCTAGGTCTCCTTTTCCATCTTAAGCTGTTCTCCCCTACGTTTAGATAGGATTGTTGAGAAAGTGAGGAAGAGATACCTTCAATGGGTGGCACAACCGTGCATGTATGTCTCCCAACTCCATGTGGGTCTTCTCCAAGTTTAGCTTCCCAAGGTCACTCCAGACTCCTCATAAGCACTTCTGCCTGCCTGCTGAGTTTCCCTCTCAGCTGCTCAAGTGTTAGAGACACAAATATCCTCCTGTCCATTGCTGGGGAGTTCTCTACTCCTTTATTAGCCACCTCCCCGTTGTCATCACCTCCTATACATGTCTCTGTACCCTTTTGTAGGATGCTGAGCATGCGGAGGGGGCCGGGGCTTGGTCTTCAGTAGAGCCATGGAGACAGACACCATGCATGTGTTTGTTCAAATTCCTTTTAATTTAATTTAAATTCCTTCAGATAACTCTACAACATAGGCATGTCTTACCCATTTCACAGAGAAGGAATGAAATCTCACAGAGGATACTTAGCTTGCCTAAGACAAACTAAGAGCCTATTGTCAAAACAATAGTGCAAGCCCAGGTACATGGTTCAGAGTCTACACCATTAACTATGCCCTCTGCTGCCTCCTCCTGTGTGAAGAGTAGTCCCATGGATTGATTTATTATGTGAGTTTTTGCTTTTTTGTGTGTTTTGAAGAAAACATCAAATGCAGTCAAGTCTAGGAATTAAGCCCCTTTCTTGAGTTAGGGCCCCACTCCCCTGCTTCACCATTTTGGACCCCAGCTTCCTTGGATTGAAATTATGGAAGAGGATGGTGGGGGTACACATGGGTTGAGGTTACCCCATGCTTTAATGGAGCCCTGAGAACAAGGCCACCATCATAGTAAACCCTTTCTCTTTTTGCTGCAGTTGGTTGTCAAAAGCCCCACAACAAATGGCAGTAAAAGCTCCTAATGTTTTTTCTTGAGGGTTTGAGAATCCAAGTTAGGGTGTTAAGCTCTACCCGCCTCTGAGATTCACAATCCTCATTCACACAGTCTTCACTTTAGAAGTCCAAAACAACTCTGAGGGACACGAAAATATCATTTTTATTGTCTCACAGCCCTGATGGTTTTAGACAGATTCCATATTCCAAATCTCATTATCCCAAATGTGTTCATTAAACAACTTCCCAACATAAAAAAAATAAAGTAAAATCAGAATGCAGTGTGATTTCCCTTTTATGGTCCAATCCCACATGGTTCCAGATCTGAATTCTATGTCCCACCAAACTCATCACAGCCACAGAATCCTGGATTATGTCTTGTTCTCTTATTGGCACCTTTCTGTATTTTTCTCAAGCTCATGCTGAAAACACATTTCTCTTTATATGCATCTACTTCAAACACACAAAAGATTTTTTGACAAAAATATTAAAATGTACTCTGAAACATAATATTCTTAGACATGAGGAAAAACTAGAAAGAAAATGGAATTCAGATCACATGAAAGCCACAATCAAGCAAATATGGCCAACATGGAATTGTGCTTTAACCAGAAGATTGCATTTTTCCCTGCTCAATCTCAACAGTTTCTTCCATCAAAACAGTCTTCCCTGTTGACTTTTATGTATCCCATAGTATTTGAGGGTGTTTTTTTTTCTTATTTTCTGGCATTGCAGAACTGGGCCAAAGCTTAAAGAACCAGGTTATAAGTGCCTCAAATTCTGAAGCGAGATGCCTCTCCTGGGGCTTGTGAAGGGGTAGAAGTAGGGGTAGCCAGGGACTCAGCTTCCATCCCCATCACCAAATAGCCCACTCTTCACCATGACTCTCAGCATCTCCCCAACTCTCTGCTCCCAGCCTAGCCAGGAAAGGGGAAGAGTGTCATTGCTAACTGACTTTGAGTTCTGGGGAGCCTTCTGAGAAGGAAGAAGTTCCACACACTCACTGAAGGCAAGCATGAGAGAATCCTTGGGAAATGGTGGGGCTGAGGCTGGAATCTGATCTAAGAGCCTTCCTCAGTTGTCACACTAGAGCCAGAAAGGACACAGCAGGGGAGGGAAGGGACAGCTGTCAGACAGCCCAGAGGGACATGGCAAGTGAGGGGAGGTGGGTACAGCCGTGAGACAGCCATTGCTCTTCCATTTGTGTACAAGAGATGGGTAAGCTTCATGGGAATCTGGCTCACAGAGGAAAGTTTGGCACTGAGGTGTCTCAGTGGCCCAATGACAAGTGAAGCCTTGAGGCAAGAAATTTCTCAAGAGCAAGCAAGAGAGAGAAAGAGAGAGAGAGAGAGAGAGAGAGAGAGAGAGAGAGAGAGAGAGAGAGGAGTATGTGTGTACTGTCACAGTCAGAGGTCAAGGGAACCAGCCATGACTCCTGTGGTCCTCAATGCCCTTGTCAAGAAAAAAGATGGAGGTAGTTAGTCAGGATTTCCATGACTCAGTGGGTAAGAAGGGGCACTTGCTTTGTAATTATGAGCCCTTGATTTTGAATTCTCAGCACACATGTGAAAAGCTATGCATAGCCCCACAGGCCTCAAACCCCAGCACTGACAGGTAGAGACAGGCAGATCCTGAGAAGTTGTGGCTAGCCAGCCTATCCAAAACAATGAGCTTCCAGTTCAACAAGTGACCTTGTCTCAAGGTAGTAAGAAGTAGAAACTGAGAGAGGAAAGGAAGACACCTGACAAACTTCCCTAGCCTTCATGTGTACATGCAAGGATACATACACCCCTTACACTTGTGTTCATGTATGCACCACACACGTGTACAACACATACACCAA